GCCAAAGGGCCCAGAGGAACTGAAGTTGCCGCTTCCTTTAGCCATACTCCCAAATAAGTCAGATTTACTGAAACTGAAGTGTTTGCTTCTCCACAGGAGAAACTATTCCACTTGGTGGTCACAGTTAAGTAGCCAATATTTGAACCAAGTGTTCTGCTTCCAGTCTTCCCAATGCCATCATCTGCTGTGGCATGAAGCCAACATATTCAGTACCAAAGAGAATATTCTGAAAAGCAATTAGATTTGCCACAGATAGTCACAAACATTCTTAGGCAATCATTAGAACTACATTACAGGGTCAAATCTGTGGACCAAGGAAGACACCCCCCCCCCCCACTGAAGAATAATGTTCATTGGAGGTCAGCTCACGCAACACACTTCCTGGGAGGTTCAGGACTTGTTTCCCACTTCCTTCTTTTAAACTAGACAGGCTCTTCATCCCCTGTAAAGTCCCATGCACATGTTTATAATTATTCTTCTTCTGAAGTGAGTTCCCTCTCCGGAGAGTTAAGAGGAACAATGGGAAGAAACAGACACCCTGGGGGCAGTGATGAGGGAGGGTCTATGCACCTGGAAAAACCACACTAAAATTCAGAGCTGGAAGGGGCCTCTGAGAGCACCTGATGACTTCCCAAGATCATGTGGTCGGCAAGGGGCAGAGCTGGTCAGAATTCCAGTCCCACTGACTCCTCGCTGGGGGCACTATTCACTTAGTCATCATTTTAGGAGGCTGTGTCTAGTTTCTAAATAAAGTCCAGCTAGCAATCCAGATCTCCTGTGCTACCCCCTGAAATGACGGTTGACATTGCCTATCTTGAGTAGGTGGAATAGGATGGAGTGGGTAGGGCAGGGCAGGGGGAGCTTTCCATCCTGAGTCCCCTGAGTCTAGCTAACAACAGCCAAAACTTACTGAGCACTGTGCTGGGCACCGTGCTTAGTACATTGTATGCATTGCTCGTCTAATCCTCTCAACTACCCTATTGGGTAGGCCTGATTATTTCTACTGTACAAATGAGGATGTGGCACAAAGGACCTAAGGAACAGGCTTAAGCTCCGACAAGGGATAGGAGTAGTAAGGTCTGGCGGGTTGTAGTCCGGCTCTGTTCTACATCAATGCCAGTCCTCTGAACCACGTACTTTTAAAACCATATGGTAAATGCAGGGCCCAGGGAAACTCAAATTAAATTTTGCTGACCACAGGGAATCCTCATGCTCTGGCCAGGTGTCCCAGACCCCCCAGAGTGGGGATCTCCACCACAGCGGCACATTCAGGACTTCACGGGTTCTTTCTTGCTTCCTCTGCCCAGACTCTTTAGGCTGGGATGTTGTGGAAGAGTAAGTCGAGCAGTAAGCAGGGAAACATTCAGGACTGGAGGAGGCTTTAGTGGGGACAGAAGGAAAGCGGGTTTGTTTTCTCAACCACAGGTATTCTAACACGCCCTGCCTTCAAGAGCTACAGAAGGAATCCCGTGAAGGCTCCCAATGGGAGGAACACTGAGACTTTCCACAGGGAAGATCGGGAGGTAATTTTTAAACTTCTAACCTTGCTTTTGAGCTCAAGGGACCTTAGGAAAACAGAACACATTTGGCAGGTGAGACAGGCAAGTAAGGTGTGAGAAGATGCCCTTGCTCGTGGAGGGGTGGGGCCCAGGAGGCAAAACTCCTGCCAACAGGATGCACTGCTTTTTCTCCAGATCTGCAATTGATTGTGATTTTGTGCTTCTCCAAAATTCTCAGCACTGCACACTTGAATCTTAAAGTCCCTCTTCAGTGAGAGCACATCTGTGTGGTCCCCGAGCCACCCCCAGGTCACAGGTATGAAGAACAGGGCCCTGGGAGCCACAGTAATTCACTGTTGGACAACTGGATTTCTTCTCTGCACAGTTTCTGGCACATGCACACTCCTGCACTTGTCTCTGGAGCTCCTCCAGAAGAAATCATTCAAGCTAGCCTCCTTCACTGCCGACCTTCACCACATGCCTTCTTGTTTTTGAGACAGAGGGATTCGCATTGGCTTTGATGGAGCATTTAAAAGGTCTACAAAATCAAACTGCTTGATCTGGTGTATAACTCAAGTCTTCCACGCATGGAATTCTACTTACTGACGTAAAAACCTGGTTTCTTCTTGGGAGAGAAGAATAGGAGCTTAAAGGCACTTACTCTCGAATGCTCCAAATACCCTGCTTCTTTGTTCCCAGAGGCACTCAACTTAGACTTACCTGTAAACACACGTTGGTTTCTTGCATCTGGCGAACGCTGTTCAGAGCTGCAGTCACCTTTTGTTTGAATCCCGGTGAGGCTAGTGATGTGCATGCGTGCGTCAGGGATACAGGTGAGCTGGCCAGTGCCCCGCATTTGCATTACCAGTTTCTCTCCAGGACTTTGCAGTACGGAAAGCACTGACTGGGATAGGAAGATCTAGAACACGGGCTTTGGATTATGTGACCACAGGCAAATCGCACAGCCTGAATAAGAAAATTCTGCCAAGCTGGTTATTGGAAGACTGCATTAGTTTGCTCAGGCCGTCTTAGACACCACAAATGAGATGCCTTACACAACAGTTGAGTTTTTCTCAGTGCTGGAGGCTAGAAGTCCATGATCCATGTGTCAGCAGGTTTGATTACTTCTGAATTCTCCCTGGTTGGCCTGCAAGTGGCTGCCTTCTTACTGTGCCCTCATACGCTCTTTCCTCTGTGAACATACATGTCTGATGATGAAATTTCTTCTTCTAAGGACACCAGTCATACTGGATTAGGGCCTACCCTGATGATCTCATTGTAACTTCATTACCTCCTTAAGACATTATCCAGTCACATACTGAGGTCCTGGAGATTAAGGCTGCGGCATCTGAATTCGGGGAACACAAAATTCAACCCATAACAAAGACTGAAGGACAAAGGTGATAAAAGCTCACATTTTTCCTGTCTTTGGCATAAGGAAAAAACTTGTGGTTTGGAATACTTCAGCATCACTTCTAGCTCCTGGTTCTGTTGCTTGCTAATTATATAAATTTGGGCAAGTTGCTTGTTTCATCAGCTGTAAAATGGGAAAAAGAGTATCTCCTCAAAGCGATTTTTGTGAAGATCAAGTGCTGAAGTGGTTAACAGTATCTGGAAGGGGTGGGCACAGTGTATTTGCTATTACTGCAGTATTTCCTCCTAGCAATAATTGTGATTATTGCCTCCTACTTGCTTCTTTTTGTCCAAGTGCTTTGTCAACTAGCCTTGGTGATGGCCGGTGAGCCAAATAAACAAAGTGAGAAATTTCTGTCCTAGGGATTTCAAGAAACATTGCTCGGTTGGCTAAGAGACAGCAGCAGAGGTGGCAGCAGGAATTTCCCCAGTGGAGCCTTACTTCAGCGATTACACAAGTCCGCATCAGACCCCAGTATCGGACCATGGCCCTCTCAGTGTGATGGCCCACCCGCTTCCTCTTCCTCTTCACGTAGTTCATGATGGTTTCCCCTGTAACAAAAGCCACAGGCAGCCCAACCGCAGAGCTCTTGCCAGAAGGACAACAGGACTAGAAAACAAACCGCATGCTACAAAAACTCCCATCATGCAAGCAAGCAGCTTTAGGTATGAGCTGAAAAGGTGTTTTAAGTCACTGCTTCCAGTCAGGAAGGCCTCAAGGAACAGAAGTCTGGTTCTCAGTTTCGATCATTCTAAACCAGCAAGAATAAAAATAACTCTAGAAACCAGTAAGACCAATCCCCATCATGACCTATAACCATGTAACGACACGGTTACTCTAAAAAGCAGTCAGCAGATCTGTGCCTACCATAGACTATCTGCTACTGGTCCATGACAAAGCACAGAAATCAAGAGTAACATTTAGAAACTTTAACAGCAGTTTGACAGAAATTTTATATCCATTCAATCTATAATAAAAATTATATGGTTGTATTTTGTCTTATTTTTTCTAGAAATTCACTTAACTATATTTTACAAAAGTACTGGTCCATGGCCACTAGTTCAAGCAGCATAGTGCTGGGTTACAAGCTTCTAAATACTTGACTGTGAACAAGTCTAGTAACTTAGCAGGATGAGGCTGCTTGGGCTCCAGTATATCCCCCTCCAAATAAAAAAATACAATAAAACCACAGCATTTTTCTTCATTCCACCTTGTAAGAAAAAAAAAAGATACATTGTTTTCTTATCAGGAATATAATAAAAATCAGCTTCCACTGTACATTCCAGTCCAAACTTCATCATATTGGACGTCATCAACGTCCAGAGGACCTTTTATTCAAATATTTCTGAGGACCACAGATACAATACCCCGTTCAAAACTAAAAGGTATCAGTGGGGAAAATTCTGGATGTGAGTCAGAAAATCTGGATTCAAGTCCTGGCTTTACCACCTAAAAGCTCTTTTGACATTAAGTGATAATCTCACTGAGCCAATTTCTTTAACCACAAAAGACATGGAGATTACAAATGATCTGCCCAATCTGCATCTTATGAGTGTTGTGAGATTCAAACAGAGAATGTCTGTGGAAAGTGTCCCATAAAGTGCAGAAGTACATGATGGAATATTGTGGGCCCAGCCTTCAAAGAATAAAACAGGAGCTTTTTGACAATCTCAAAAGAAATAGTACCTAATATAGTACAGTGAGGAAGCTGACCAGAATACTGATATTCCTCAGACGTTTTGCTAATTTTGAAACACACAATATGCCTTCAAATCTTTCCCTGTGTAAAAAGCACTTATTTTCTAATGAACTATTAAGTGTGTTTGTTTCCATTCTGCCAGGCATCTAGCATCACGGTGGACACAATGAGGCAGGGAAAGAAGAGCACACAGCATCAGCCCTTGGGCGGCCCACAGCTGCAAGGGTGTTCCAGGGGCAGGCTCCAGATAGTACGGGACTCAAACACAGTAGAAACCAGAGAGAGGCAATGACTCATACAACTATTTGGAGACCCTCTCAAAGAACCACAGACTTAAAAATATACCATTTCCCTCCTATACTTCAGGCAAGAGAAGACCAGAAAATCGTAATGTATTTTAGCTTTATTGGAGACATAGTACAGTAGACAGACAGGTAGACAAACACATGCCTTATAAAATATACATTCTCATGTGTGAGAAAATATAAATAGATACTAGGGAAGGACCACACGGAACAACTTGGCTTATAACTCTCTTTTGGTACATCTAGTACCAGGGCTGCTCAGACTGACGTCCTCTGATGGGAGAAAGGGGAAACAGAAGAAATAGTAGGTAGAAATAGTCTATGGATCAAGAGGCCACTTTAAGTAGCCAAGAGATATTCCAAGAGCACTTGACCACCTGATGATCAATTCTCTTTCAAAACAGTTGGGAGTTGATAAAAGATCACTTTACTCTTTATATCTAAAAACAAGCTCAAATCAAGTTGTTTTTTCATCATCACCCCACCCCACCCATTGGTGGAGATTATTAGGACTGCTAAGAAACATTCAACACACAACTTTGGAGCACGTCCAAATATTATTCTCATACACACAGACGCACCCACATGCATGCACACAGACACACACATATATCCCTACACACACATATATCCCTACCTCTTATTACCCACAAAATCTTCAGATGATTTGTGGGCTTGCAGGTGTTGTTTTGTATGGAGCAGCTTGTAATATTATCTCTTAATTTAGAACTTAAGATATTTTTGTCAACAAATCAGGCAGTTGTCCAAAAAAGAAAAAAAAATGAAGGCTAACTGATGTTGGTTTAGACTATACTCTAAACAAAACAGTTCTAAGTTAGAAGCAGGAGGGGAGGACATCTGCCAGACAGAACTGGGAACGAGAACATATCATAGAAGAATGAGACATTCCCTGCATTTTTGTTGCCAAAAATCTCAGCTCAACCTTGTAAGGCCCACACAATTACCTCTGTAATCTGCATTAAGAAGCAAACTCAGAAATGGAGCACATAGCAAAAAATTGCAGTATATTTACTTCTGTTGCTCCATTACCTCCTGGAATTTTGTGGACTTTTTTTTTAAATTTTATTTATCTATTCATGAGAAACAGAGACAGAGAGAGGCAGACACACAGGTAGAGGGAGAAGCAGCTCCATGCAGGGAACTTGATGTGGGACTCGATCCTGGGTCCCCAGGATCACACCCTGGGCTGAAGGCAAGCACTAAACCACTGAGCCACCCGGCTGCCCAATTTCTGTGGATATTAAAATGATTGGAAAAGGCTAGAACGCACTTGAGTTATATACTGGGTGAAAGGCTAAACACCACAATTCCAACCCCATTCCAACTGGAGTCCTGCTAAGAAGAAACAGGAATAAAAATTAAAGAGTAAAAATGAGGGTTATAATGCATTATATAGGTTATTAAAGTTTTTATTATGGTAATGCCATTTGTGTAACTAGTTATAGACTTTAGATAAGCCCAGACTTTCATGTTTTCAGCCATTAACCCAGAAGAGGCTCCTTCTGTTAACCAAAAACTAAAACTCTTTAGCTGAAAAAAATTTCTTAAGTGCTCTATACTTACTGCATATAAAGGATTTTGAAGGAAAAAAGTTTTAGAACTGTTGGATTGCTTCTCGAAATTTCCAATGATAAAACTGAGACCTAAAAGTCATCTTGCTCATTCCATTCTCAATGTAGACATTTCTTCAATGCTACTAAGATGATTATTTACCCTCCACGTGTACTTTTCCCACAAAATGCTGATTATTCTAATTATCGGACAAACCTGTTGGAGAATTAATTTATACAGAATCACTGGCAAGTGTATACTGCACCTCCCTGTTAAGTTCTGCCCCACAGAACAGGGGCAGACATAACCCATCCTCAGGAATACAGAGTGACTAATCCTGTTTCTTGGCAACACTTTAAGTAATTAAAGGCTTTAATCATATCTCCCATCTTTTAGGAAAATAGGTAACAGAGTCTATGCTGCTTGACGTCTTACTGTTGCTTTTACAGCACCAACATGGGCAGTGAGAAGGCAACTATTTTTAAATATGAAAGTTACCTTTCAGAAAAATACACATAAAACACTGTGAGAGGGCACATTAGAGGGTTTCTGATACTTCGAATCCCATAGAGCAACCTGTACAACTAGGGAAAGTGCTTTAGAAGCTGCTGAATGAATGACAGAAAGCCAAAGGCTTGGGTGTAGAACATGTGCCAGTAGGGTGTGAGTTAAAGAAGATGCTATTTCTTCCAGGTAGACTTGAAGAATCAGCCTGAGAGGGGCACAAATTAAGAGGATTTATGTAACCCTACCGATATGAGATTACCACTGGGTGAGGGGCAGAGTATTTCTCTTGGCATCTTAGTTTGCCTTGCTTGCAATGTCCCTGATTAAAGAGGCAGACATCACATTGCTGGGAAAACACTGATGAGCCACTAACCCTGTTTACAGTAGAGAGAAAAATCACTGCTTGGTCAAAAACATATGCAATAATGAAAAACTTCAGGAATTTCTTCTCCTAAGATTAGAATTTATTACATTTATTTTTATTTTTTTAAGACCTGGGGCAGGCTCTTCACGTTTAAACAAACTCTGGACTAGTCTTTTAGTTACTTCAGCAAGCTAAGGGCATCTGGAAGGACATCTCAGTCATTTGAGTTGACATTAGAGAGAAACTGGTCATTCAGGAGACCAGATTCTGACAGTCATAGGAGGAGCAGGACCACTGCTAGAACAGAGGCAGCACTCCTGTCGTCTAAGTTTCCTAGAACATTGGTTCACAGCCTGCTTTGCAGTCCTGTCACCCATGACAGCTAATGTTCACCTGCAGCCTCGCTCTAACTACACCTTTTCATTCAAGAAAAGTTCGTCAGAATTTGAGTGAAAGGAGAGGACAGTCACAAGATAACCTGTATGAGTGGATACATTTGAAAGGTAAGGGGTCACAAGCTAGCTGCAAATCAGTCACTGTGCACCCCTCAACTGATTCTGCTGCTCTGGCATGTGGCAGCATTAGCATTCAGACCTGCTGCTCTAGAGAGCAATCGGTAGTTTCCATCGAGTCAAGATTCCTTGTTTACTGAGATGGTTTCAAAACAGAATAGCTCTTCTCCTCCTGAGTATTTCTTACACTGTCCCTCCTACTATGGAGGAAGTGAATCTGGCTCAAGTCAGAGTAAGCAACATCACTCTTGTTACTCTAACAAACATTTCATGAAAGCAGCTTTTTATTAGAGTAGCATAATCCTCCTTGGTTCCTGGAGGGATCACAGATTCACAGAATGTTACAGCTGGAAAGGGCTTAAGAGCATCTAGCAGAATGCCCTCATTTCATAAATGAGAATATCAGGCTGAGAAGACACTTGCCCCTGATTGCACAGCCAGTAAGGAGCAGAGCTGGGAACAAAATCAGGTCTCCTGATTCCAAGTCAGTCCTGTACAGATTACAGTACAACCTAGTAAGGAAGAAGAGGAACCACAAGTTGAGGAGATAGGAGAATAGTGATATTTAAGAAGTTCAAAGTAAAAATAAACAGAGGCCGACAGTTTAAAAAAGCAAAGAGAGAATGGCTTGGTGGTACAAAACAGCTAAAGTGATGCAACTGCCTATGGGAGAAAAAGCTAAGATTGAAAACTAGTATGCAATTCAACTTTCTGGCAAAAAGGAAAGATATGTGAGTCTAGAGCCCCTGAAATGCACAATAACTAAGAAAGAGATATTTTCATTTAAATGATGTAAGTTATCCAGTATGCAACTGGTACTCACTAGATTGAGAGGACAGAATCTGATAGCCTAGGTAAGGAAATCTGAAAGCACAAAGAAAAAAAAGAACTTCAGTCCTTTACATTCTAGGAGAGTGTTAAATCCTTTGTTTACATAAAGCTTTTCCTATCAGAAATTCAAGAGAACTTTTTGGCTGAAATAATCACTTGTATAAAACAAGGAAAACACTAAAGCTTTAGAGTATAAGTATTTGTGCACATTTGACAACTCCCAAAAGCACTCTTCCCTTCTTAAGATACACTGTGCCTTGGTAGAAGAGATACAAAAAAATAAAAAAATAAAAAAACAGAAAAGCAGCAATCTTTGGTTTCCTCATCAACTAAGTACTTTGCTGAAAGAAGATATTCCCAAAGGAAATTTTCCTTTGTCCATGTGCACATGACTATGACAAGACTGCTAGGCTTTTGAGTCTTTTTATGCTAGAAAAGTAATATTATCTGGCACTTGTAAACAGATGGTAAATGACTAAATGTATGAATTTTTAGTTATGAAGAAAGTGGTTAATTACACCAAGACTGTGTGTTTATGTGTATGAAATCACTAAGTATCCTGCCTCTATACATATACTCCTTAACAAACACATTTTTAAAACTTTAAACAAAGTTTTTAGGTTCACTAAACCACGTTATACAAATTCTGTGGTCTGAGAAGCTGTTGTCAATATTATAATTGGATATTATATATAATTTTGGCATATCAAAAATATTTACAATGCATTGACATATGGTCAATGAATACAAAAATTATTTATAAATGTACATATATTTACAATGGGATCCCTGGGTGACAGGGATAAAAAAGAAATAATCATTCACAAGAATACAAAACCCCTTGATGTGGTAACAGTTGATCAAGCCAGGAATTCTTGTCAAAGACCTTGAATATCAAAGCGCCAGTCTCAATTAGATGCTTAAAACCACTGAAGAATCCCAGACACACTTCCCAGAGGGCTCCAGAGTTATTTCTGTTCCTTGGAAGACACTAGAACAGTGATGTTTTCTCAGAATCATTCTGCAGGTTGAGACAACCCAGCATGTTAAGCAGCAATAAAGACTCTCCCTAATAGGCAACACACAGCTGGGCACATCCCTGTGGAACCATCAGGAAGCACGTTTGTCCTGTATTTTCCTTTGCCGTGCTGCACACATTTTATTAGATATACCCATTTCTGTCAGCCGTCTCCCGTTCTTCATCAGGAGTAAGCCCAAACAAATGCCTGGCCCACCTTGGTGGGGTCAGATGTAATTGTAGGCAGGGTAAAGCAAATGCTGACTCTAGGGTTTCTTCTGAACTCTGAGGTAGTAAATACAAAATTAACTAACTTGAGTCTTTGCTCAGATTTCATCCTGGAGTGAGTTTCATGTGCCCTCTCCACCATCCTGAATGTTCCGAGTCCTACTAAAATCAAAAGTGTGATCGTGCAACCTGTAACAGGGCATGGGAGAAGTGGAACAGTCTGGGCCACTCTCTGCCAGACCTTCATTTTGATGGAGTTGTGGTCGCTCAAGGACTGGCTGCTGGGAAAACGGAGGATGAGGCAGGCCTAGTTCTTTGCTTATGTTCCACAGAGGCCGCTGCAATGTTTCTGAGAATGAAAGACAATAATCAATGGCAAGTGGAAGTTCAAAATTAATGGTTTAAAACTTAATTATTTTTTACTCAAATCCCCCCAGAAATAGATACCCAATATTCCTTAAATAAGGACATTGAGAGCAAATATATACTCCCATCTTCTTAGCAACATTTAACAAAAGGAAACAAAACAGAATCTGGAACAATGGTATTTCAAGACCTTCTACTCAGCAATCTTAACCAATTATTTACTGAAACCATGCAATACATCCTCCACTTTCATCTATTATTAGTGGTTCTGCTGCTAAAATTTAAAAATAAAATTCTTCAGACACGTGGAAACAAACTAAAATAGTATCCATACTGTAGCGAAAGTTGCATGATACAGACAAAAATCACTGATTCAACACAGCCTTTACAGCTTTAAATAACAAATGCATATGTTAAAAAAATTGTTTTAAAAATAAACTATTTCCCTCCAGTTTCTAGAATGCCAATAATTCTAACAAAATAATAACTCAAAGCAGCAATTTTAAATTAGATTATGTGTACTTTGGTTTCAAAAATATGCATTTCTCATTCACCCTATCTACTGCAGTGGTGTGTGAGCTCTTTCCCCAAATAATATTTGCTGAAAGCTATAATAAATTCATGGGGATGCATTTTGGAAGAAGTTAGGCAAACATTCTGGAAACAAACGCTCAGAAATAAAAACAAAACCCATGTGAAAAGTAAGGTAGGGCAGGGTTTCTTAAGCTTTAACACACATACAAATAACTTGGGGATCTTGTTAAAGACTCTGGTTCACTGGGTCTAGGGTGGGAACCTTGATCTGCATTTCTAACAAGCTCCTAGGTAATGTTGAAGCTGAGACCACACTCTGAGTAGTAAGGAGCTAGAGCACCCCAGGTAGGAATGAGCAATGCACCAAAGCACTCATATGCTGATTTCCTCAGTTATAGACCAAATTAGTAATTAAGCTATCCCCTACTGTTAGGAAAAGGATGCACTGCATTTTTGGTTCTACTTAACGTCTTTTTACGTGTTACCCTTTTAGGATATGGGAACACGGGTTTAAGTGTTGGCGCACTTCCTTCATAGACACTGAACTTTAAAGACAAGGGACTTAACTTCAGTGAGCAACAGTACACTTTTCTCTGATATGTGCCCTCTTTAGAAATCTTTGGTCTCTTAATCAAGAACAAGAGAGCACATCCTAAAAGTCCCACGTCAGATCATTTACTCCTGCTAGAACCATCCCTGGAAGCATCTGTAGTCCTCACTCCCACCCAATTTCCTGTGCTCTTCCATTTTAGATCAACAGGAAGGTGACAACTGATGAAAAACCTGGACAGGAAGACCCGCTCAGTAGTGTCCTTCAGGGTTTGGAAAGAGTTTTGTTTTACTGACTGAGTTGTTACCAAATGCCTCATCTGCACAATGTGACGTGTTTCTTTTCTTGGGTCATGTGGAAGAGCAGCCACTATCCCACAATTGCTTCCCCACTTCTGGCCCTGGATTATAACGCCTCACAGGCGAAAGCAAACACTGGCTAAGTGATACTGATGTTCAATATTTACCTGATAGAACAGTAACCAAATCATTTTTACACCTCCTCAGTAAAAACCTCCACCAGGGCAGCCCCAGTGGTGCAGCAGTTTAGTGCTGCCTGGAGCCCAGGGTGTGATCCCGGAGACCCTGGATTGAGTCCCATGTCAGGCTCTCTGCATGGAGCCTGCTTCTCCCTCTGCCTGTGTCTCTGACTCTTTCTCTCTCTGTGTGTCTCTATGAATAAATAAAATCTTAAAAAAAAAAAAAAATACCTCCACCAAATTATATACTCAGCATTTCCAACCCCCATTATTTAAATAAAGATGGAGGAAAAAATTAATACCTATATGAAGCTTTTTTAAAAGCTTTTTCTATGTGGCTTCTGAATTTTTAAAAGTGTGATCTTGATACTCCCACAGAAGCTGTTTCCATCCTACAGATGCAACTTCTCTATAATTCTAATCTGAAAATCTCTGGCTCTAGTTTACATCAGCTAGCAGGAACTAATTACTCTATTATACCAATTTGTTTGCTTCCTGTCAAATCAGAGTGCTACTTATATGACAGAAGGAAAAATCAAGTAGGTGAGAGTAAAAACAAAAATAAACAAAAAACACTGTGCCCTTTACCACTGCTCATCTGTGTGGAGGGAAGTTTCTTCTCATTTATCCTCTCATGGTTGGTGGGAAAGGAAGCCATCTCTCTGTCTGCTGCCAATATCAGGCTCTCCAGGGTAGGGGCATCTTGGGGAGGATGTGCCAAGTATGTCTCCTTGGGCATCTGGACCATGAGGTTGGACAGTGTCTGATCTAGAACATCTTCCTCAGCAATATAGGTGTATGGACAGTATTCTCTGGTCCTGGAGTAGATATTGGCATTGTCATAGCAATCGGAGCAAATAACCCGGGTACCAGTGCCACCTGATAACAACACAGGAAAGAATCCTTCAGTTAAGGAGTCAGCTTTGCAGATCACCAGTATTCTTCACCAGCTATGACCATTATCACACTAGCTGGCATCAATTCAGCACTTACTCGATAAATCAGGTTAAGTGTCAAGATCTTTCTGTGAATTAACAAATTTAATCCTTACAGCATCCCTATGAGGTAGGTACTATTATCTTCATTTTACAGATGGGATAACTATAACACAGAGAAATTAGGGAACTTGCTCAAAGACAAAGCTGAAATCTGAACTCAGGCACTCTGGCTCCAGAGCCCAATGCTCTTGAATGCTACATCAAACAAACTATCGTTGTCCAGTCTGAATAAGATCATGCCCAAATCGCAGCCCTGGTGGCCCAGTGGTTTAGCGCCGCCTTCAGCCCGGGGTGTGATCCTGGAGACCCCGGATCTAGTCCCGCGTCAGGCTCCCTGCGTGGAGCCTGCTTCTCCCTCTGCCTGTGTCAGCCTCTCTCTCTCTCTCTCTCTCTCTCTCTCTCTCTCTCTGTCATGAATAAATAAATAAAGAAAATCTTTAAAAAAAAAAAAAAGATCATGCCCAAATCAAGGGAACCAAGACATGGCTGCACTGTGCTACAAGACACATGTTCGGCTTAAGCAAACTAAAGCAGAGAACAAGGAATTATGATGACTTCACTTCACAAAACCTGCATTAGTTTCATGAGCCAAGGGGTTACGCAACACTCATTGCTAAGAGTTCCCCTAGAGGAAGCCTCTGATGGCCAAGAGCCTGGCCTAACACATGTGAGTAGTCTGGCAGAAGTAAAGTTTAATAAGGAGCTCCCAGGACTGTTACATGCTTTGAAAACTGCTAAAAGAGAGAAAAGACAGTGAGAAATAAAAGAGCAAGCAACTTACTCTTGATCACGCAACGGTGTTAGAACCCGAAGTTAGTTTGACCCAGAAGGCAGTGTTCTTTCCCACCAATTTCAAAGAGTAGAGGCATTTAAAGATTCTTTTAAAAGCCAGAAGTACCCTTCTTTCCATGGAAAGCCAAAATAAAATCCAATCTATCCATTAAACAGATAAATTCTGTTAATGCTCAGCCTAAAAAAATCTCTGTACAAATAGAAAAGGCCTTTCATTTATACAGTATTTGAAGTAGTACACTGATTTGTTGAAAGGATCTGTGAGAATCTTGAGAAGTACTTTATAAAATACTGCTTCTTTATTCTAAAAATGACAAAGTTAAAGCTCAGATTTGAGTAACTTGTTCATGGTCCCAGAGCTGGAAGCAGGAACTAGGAATCAAACCCAATTCTTCTATCCCTAGTTCACCTCCCTGAGTTCTGTCACTCCCTGTGAGAAGGGAGGAATGGGGGAGAGAAATAGTACTGAGAAGTTGGGTTCATTTAATTAGGAAATTTTGTATCTCCTTGAAGTTCTCCAACATATACTGAGAATCATCACTGCCTTTTAAACTTCAGTGAGTAGCACCTGTCAGGAGACACAAACCTCTCCTGGATATGGTCTGAAGAATACTCATGCCTTAAAAAAATAAGACACCTCAAAAGAGTTTCTAGAGCATCTCCTTCTCACAAGAATACTTCGGTTTAGGAGTGTTGCTGGGTATACCAATCCTTTGTTTTGGAATGTGTTTCTCCTTTCTGTCAGATGATCTTCTCTGTTAAGACTTCAGTCAACTTCCATCTGATTTTGCAGGGAGCCAAATGTTTTCACTGAGTATCTTACTTTGGAATGTTGCCTCAGGGGGTTGCTGGCTGAGTGGCTCAGTCAGGTGAGCATTTGCCTTCGGCTCAGGTCGGATCAAGCCCCTCATCAGGCTCCCTGTTCAGCAGGCTGCCTGCTTCTCCCTCTCCCTCTGCTGCTCCCCCTGCTTGTTCTCTCTCTCTCTCTCAAATAAATAAGTAAAATATATTTTTAAAAAATTTTTGCCGGGGCACTGGAGTGACTCAGTAGTTGAGCGTCTGCCTTTGGCTCAGGTCATGATCCTGGGGTTCTGGGATCGAGTCCCACATCAGGCTTCCCCTGCATGGGGCCTGTGTCTCTGCCTCTTTCTGTGTGTCTCTCTCATGAATAAATAAAATCTTAAAAAAAAATGTTGCCTCAGGTTAGTGGGGAAAACCATACACTGAAAAATAAACTCAACAGAATAGGTGGTAACCGTAAGCATATACAACCAAGATCCTTACCATCAGTGCCCTTGTGTAAATATCCATTAGCAGGAGGCATAAGTTGCTGATGACTGCCTGCCTCAGAGTGGCTGTAGCCTTCCTGTGGCTCCGACAGTGTTCCTTGGGAAGACAAGTAGCTGGGAATGTCTGCAGGCAGATTAAGCTCCTCTGTAAAAGAGAGATCTGTAACTTTCAAATAAAGTCAGGCAACACTCGGAAGACTATTGTGCAAATGTGCTTCACTCTGATACATCTACTGGCCAGGAAATGTTATGCACCTAGGAACTCAACAGGTCTTAGAATTTCCCCAAAGAACTATTTCTCGCTGAAATTCTTTTCAAAGTTTCATTTTAAAAGTACTACTAAAAGAGGCAAAACCTAATGTCTGAAATCTTATCCATACACATACTTTCACAATCTATCGACAGAGCCTCTTCTCTTTCAGGATTTCAGGGGAGGGGTATGAAAGATTGATCCCAGTCAGAAGGGCTCCATTCTTCCCCCACAGAGAAGCGAGGATGGAAATAAGCTTTAGGCATTAAAGAAAAAAGGTGCACATGTAATGTGTTTATAAGAGCAAAGTTTTGGGGCACTGTCTATAAATTATTCAAATTATTCATCAGAGAGGTTCCATTATACCAAGGAAGTAGGACATTTTAACAGAAAACTCCTCCTACCACACATAAAGTGTCAAAGTTCATAGCTTTTTATATTTTACAATAAATCCTATACTACGTTCCTTACTCAAGTACAAGCCATAGGTGTCAATTGGGTACCACTCACCTGTGTTTGTGATACTATAGTCTTCATTCTTCCTTCTCATGTGGTAAATAACAATGACCCAGATCAAAGAGGTGCCCACAACACAGCAAACCACAACAATGATGACAATGCCAACTGTGGTCCAGCCATCATCTTCATGCCCAGTGCTACTCTGGGAAGAGTCACAATTGGGGGATGAAATGACATTTAGGTAAATGTGACCACGTTCTGTCCCAAGGGTATTAGACATAATGCAGGTATATTTCCCTGCATCTTCCTGGCCAGCATCAACAATGATGAGAAGCTGATTTGCTGCAGCAAAGAAGTGCCGTTCTGTCACCAGCAGTGGCCCGTCATCTTTGGTCCAATTGAGGCGAGGGGAAGGACTCCCTCCAGCTATGCACTGTAATACTGCAGTTTCACCTCGGGTTACTGTCTTGTCCTCCAGGGGTCTGATAAATGAGGGTGTCTCTAAGAGAAAGATGCATAAAAAAACCATGTTAAATAGTTTTATTTCTTAAACCTACTGAATTAGATAAATGACGTGACCATGCAATAAATAAGCACTTTCAGGGGTGCCTGGCTGGCTCAGTGGGTTAAGTGGCCAACTCTGGATTTCAGCTCTGGTCATAATCTTATGGTCCTGGGATCAAGCACTGCATTGGATTCCACACGATGCAGGGAGTCTGCATGAGATCCTCTCTCTCTCCCTTTTCCCCTCTGACTTCTCTAAAATAAATAAATCTTTAGAAAAAATAAGTAAGCACTTTCATATACTTGTGGGAAGATTAAAAGTCAGTGTTTTAGAAAGGCAAAAGCCTAAAAAAATCTTATCTCACTTATTCCACCTTGGGCAAGCTATCCTAAACAAGGAAGTCAAAGATTTATACACGAAGATGTTTATTCTGAAATTAGTTGTAATTTTTAAAAATAAAGGAAAAAGATTTTTAAATCTAGCAGGAGGATAAGTAAACCATGGTACAGGCACATGACAGTTTTTGAAGACTTAATGACAGAGTAACCATTGTAAAGTAATAATATTTCAGAGAAAAAATAGTTATACAAAATTACATGAAAATGTGTTTTAAAAAAGTCCAGAATATGCCAAAATCTTTAACAGTGTTTCAGTGACTTTCCCTTTTTCTAATTTTCTATACATTCTAAGTTTTTTTTTTTTTTTACATTCTAAGTTTTTAAAACACTTATTCTTCTGATTACACAAGTAAATAACACAAACCAAAAAACTTTAAAAATCTAACATTCAGGGGAATGAACTAGAAAGCAGAATCTGCCCTTAATTTGAGTCTCATGAAAAGCTTTCTCATAAGAAAAAAAAAAAAATGGCTTGTCAGAGGAACGCTTTAGGGAAAAGACATTTTATTTTACCAGAACAAAGGATCAAAAAAAAAAAAAAAAAAAAAAAGGAGCACACTGGAAGAAGAACAGGAAATCTAACCAGAAGATGGTCATTTTTTGTACGTCAAATCAAAAAAAAAAAAATGAACTAGGAGAAAAACAATTAAATTGTGTGTGAAGCAGTACAAAACAACTGCAAACTCACTGCTGAAAAGCAGAAAAAACATATACAAACTAGAAACCTTCCAGGAGATATAGCAGGATAAATGGATTTGAGTGTCCAATTCATGTGATAAAGATCTCTAATTCTGCCATCACTACTTCCCCAGACTTCAGTTATCTGACCACTAATATCCCAGGCTGACATAACCCTTGCACGTATTGGCAAAATATGGTGACAAAGATATAAGGATGACAACTAAAGTCTCAAACTTAGACTTTTTGCCATTAAGACCAGAGGAGCCCCTTAATAAAAAGGCCCCAACAAAATCAGGGACCCACGGGGTAGTACACATACCTAATACTGTGAGTGAGGCATTTGCAGAGAGACCCCCAGCTATGTTCTGTGCCATGCAGCTATAGATTCCCATGTCTTCTATTTTCACGTTGGCAATGAAGAAGACATCATCCTCAGGCATGACGTGCATGCGTCTCTCTCGAGCCGCAGGGAAGTCAGTGCCACCATCTTTCTGCCAGGAAATCTGAGGTGCAGGGTGCCCCTCTGCAGCACACTCTAATCTGGCCATGGCACCAGTGCGAATAGTAAGATCCATTGGCGTTTTCAAGAAAGATGGCATCTCTGTTCCAAGAAAGATTATGAAACAAAGTGGGTGGGGTGAGGGGGGAATACAAACACACACACACACACACACTCGCACACATGCGCGCGCACACACGCATTTACATACATACACAAATGAGAGAATCTGTTAGGCAAAATACCAACTGTTACAATACTCTATTTCTTTCAGGCATACTTTCTGGATTGACAGTAAATCCAACTTCAGAGGCCATCTTTTCTTTCTGAACCTCAGAGTACATGGAGTACGGTGATGACAAACTATCCTAGAACACATGACATGACCTGATCTCTCTGATGGGGAGAGGAAAGCCAGGAGGCCACAAACCTTTCTGAACTCTGTATTTTGGAACCCACTATTTATTACAACTCTCTTATTTAAGAGACTAAACAGTGCTTTCCAAACTAACATCTACAAAGCTGTCATGACAAATGAATGCTAAAGAAATTTATACCAAAAAATATATAAATAAAATACAAAACATTTATGCCTTCAAAAAATCTCATAAAACAACAGAGTAAGACAGAAGTTAAGTCTTTTGGGTGTACAAAACCGAAAATGTTTTAGTGATTCAATTCGATAGGTGATTAATTAAACTGTTTTGGAGAAGTTCTTTTTTACAATCACAGTGAAGAAGAGCATTAATTGCAAAAATGATTCTGTGTGACTACATTTAGACAATGATAATGATCACTGTACCCAGAAATGTCCTACATACTCTATTACAAAGCCCCGTGAACAGTGTCAGGAATAAATTTCATAGTTTTCAGAACAGAATTACGATTTTAGAAAGAACAGAGAATTTCAGAAGAATTTTTCCAAAAGCATAAATAACAAGGAAAGCAGCCTATCTTCTAAGGCCATGGAAATTCCCTTTACCTACAACCAATTCATAGCTGGGCAAAACAGTAATCCAGTCTATACATTATTATAGCCCTAAAGACAAAATAGTAAAACTCCCTCCTCAAATGTCAGGCTTAGCCTCATTTTCTTGGCTAAGTGGTTCAAAAACTGAACATGAAAAATCCTTCTAACTATAAAACTATCAGGGAGAATTCCTTACCATTCACAGTCAGTTTGGCTTTATTAGAATAATTAGAACCAAAGTGATTAGTAACGATGCACTGATATTCTCCTTCATCTGTGAAATTCACATTGAAAAGATGTAAGACACTTGTATATTCTACAGCTTCTCCAGCTTGCTGCTGATAACGAACAAAATTCTCAATATCGATGTCATACAGGATTTCACCATCTTTGCGCCACACAGTAGACATGGGTGAATCACTGCTGCTCACTGCACTGCACGTCAGAGTCACATTCGTGCCTCTTAGAGCAATTGTAGTTTCAGGATGCATTTTTATCTGTGGCTTGAGAAAATCATCTAAGAGAAAAAAATGGGGCAGGAGCCAAGTCATTTATTTATTTTTGCTTCTACAGATTTTGAAACAACGTAAAATTGTTTTGTATGGTTTACAAAATGGCATATTAAGATTGACAGACTACAGGGCTAGAATCCAATTCCTTTTGGTTGAAAGATAAGGAAAATGAGGCCCAGAAGGGTGAAATGACTTATTCAGAGTCAATGTGAGCTCCCAGCAAAGCTTGGATGAGAACCCAGGTTTTCAGACTTCAAGGTTTAAGCATGCTCTCTACTATCACTTATGGTTACTTATTCTTAGAATGTACTTAAGTATTACCAGTTACTGGGAAAAAAGAAAAATCTATATTCAAATTTCAAAACAAGTTCTAATTGTATTAGCTCTTGTTTATATGTAGAGATTATATATATAAACATATATATAATAATACCTATTATCTTTTTTGTGTCAATATAGAAAATGGCAATTATAAATTTATATTTTACAGGGTGTACTTATTAATAAAACATTAACTTGGGGGTGCCTGGGTGGCTCAGTAGGTTAAGTGTCTGACTCTTGGTTTCAGCTCAGGCCATGATCTTGGGGTCCTGAAATCAGGCCCCACATCAGGCTCCATGCTCAAGCAAAGTCTGCTTGTCTCTCTCCCTCTGCTTCTCTCTCTACTCTCTCTCTCTGGAATAAATAAATAAAATATTAAAAAAAAATAAAATATCATTTGAACATACTTTGTATGTGTATAACTCCCACCTAAAATAGAAATTACAAACATCTTAAATGTCCAACTGAAGATAGGCTTAGGCCTGGCTAATAAAGTACAGATTCATAAATAATACTATGTAATTATATGTAAAAACAATGTAAGTATTTTGTGGGCTTGAACTTCCAAGTGTTCTAAGTATCTTTAAGTGATTATAAAAACAGATCTGGCAATATATGCGTGTCTAAACAATCAGACACTAGTGATATGCAAGACAGTTACACTGATGTAAAAGTTCTACTTGCCTAAAGCTAGGAATCAGTTATTCTACTTCAAAGGAAATTTAAGTGTAAAGGAAAAATGTCTAGGCTGAGAAAGAACAATATAGATACATACTTGAAATTATGAGTAGTGGAATCATGACAACTTTTCATGACTCTCCCTCTACATCCCCCCAAAAAACTCCAAAATTCTGCCATCACTTTAGTCTTAAGAAACTACATCAAAAATAGAAACAACATGAAACCGGTGCATTCATACCTTGCTGGTGACAACATAAACAAGTGCTATCTTTATGGATAATACCTGGTAGTACTTTTTAAGATCAACTTAAAAAATATATGTATTTTTGACTCAGTTATCTTACTGCTGGGTATTTATTCTACGGTTAACAACCCCCTAAAAGGGAAAGGCTTCATTCATAAAGATGCCATTATACTGATATTAAAAATGATCACTGATGAACAAAGGAAAAAAACTGCTTATGATGTATTAGGCCAAAGAATACAAAATTTAATCTACACAATATGAGAAGAGAAAAACAGAAAAATGGAAATAGATATGCTAGTTTGAAAGCATTCTGGTTTAATTTTTTTGAATTCTGTTGTTAAGACAGTAAGTGTGCAACACGCATCTTTTATGATCACAACACTATGAAACTAGAAATCAACCATAAGAAAAAAATCTTTAAAAAGCACAACCTATGGAGGTTAAATAACATGCTATTAAGCCATGGAATGGGTCGGGCTACCTGACTGGCTCAGTCAGTAGAGTATTTGACTACTGATCTCAGGGTTCTGAGTTTGAACCCCATGTTAGGTATAGGGATTACTTAAAAATAATTTTTTTTTAAGGTTTATCTATTTTAGAGAGAGAAAGAGTACATGTGGGGTAGGGGCAGAGAGAGAAAAAGAGAATCTTTAAGCAGACTCTGCACAGAGCACACAGCCTGAGTGGGGCTCAATCCCACGACTTCGAGATCCTGAGCTGAAACCAAGAGTCAGACCCCTAACCAACTACGACTCCCAGGTGCCCCCCAAAATAAAACCTTTAAAAATAAATAAAACAACGAATGGGTCAACCAAGAAATCAAAGAAGAAATAAAAAATTACATGAAAACAAATGAAAATGAAGACAGTCCATAATCTCTGGGATGTAGCCAAAAGTGGTTCGAAGAGGAAAGTTTACAGCAATATAGACTTACCTCAGGAAGCCAAAAAAATCTCAAATAAACAACTCACCTTATACCTAATGGAGCTAGAAAAAGAAGAAAATCTAAATCTAGCAAAAGTAAGGAAATAATAAAAACAAGAGCAGAAATAAATGACACAGAAACTAAAATAAAATAGAACAGATCAATGAAACCAGGAGCTTGTTCTTTGAAAAGATCAATAAAATTGATAAACCTCTAAGCAAGATTCATTAAAAAAAGAGGACTCAGATAAACAAGATTACTAATGAAAAGAAGAGAAATGACAACCAACACCAAAAAAATAAATAATTGTAACAGAATATTATGAAAACCTATGTATCAACAAATTGGACAACTTAGAAGAAATACATAAATTTCTAGAAACATAACCTACTAAAACTAAAATAGGAATAAACAGAAAATTTGAACAGACCAATTAACAGCAATGGAATTGATCAATAATCAAAAAACTCTCAAAAAACCAAGTCTAGGACCAGACTGCTTCACAGGTGAATTCTACCAAACATTTAAAGAAAAATTGATACTCATTCTTCTCAAACTATTCTAAAAAATACAAGAGGAAGGAAAACTTCCAAATTCATTCTATGAAGCCAATATCACCCTAATACCAAAACCAGATAAAGACATGGCAGAAAAAAAAGAGAACTACAGGCCAGTATCTCTTATGAATATAGATACAAAAATCCTCAACAAAATATCAGCAAACTGAATCCAACAATATGTCAAAAAAAAAATATACACCCCTATCAAGTGGGATTTATTTCCTAGATGCAAGAGTTGTTTAATATGCACAAAACAATCAATGTGACGCACCATATCAATAACAGAAAGGATAACAATCATATGACCATTCAACAGATGCAGAAAAAGCATTTGACAAAGTACAACGTCCATGTATGATAAAAATCCTCAAAAAGTAGGTCTAGAGGGAATATATCTCAAACTAAAGTCCTTATATGAAAAACCCACAGTCAACATCCTACTCAATGGTGAAAAACTGAGAGCTTTTCCCCTAAGGTCCGGAATCAGACAAGGATGCTCACTCTCACTACTTTTATTCAACATAGTACTGGAAATCCTAGCCCAGCAATCTGATTACACAAAGAAATAAAAGGCACAATAGGTAAGAAAGAAGTAAAACTTTCACTATTAACAGATGACATGATCCTGTATTTGGAAAACTCTAAAGCCTCCACCTAAATAAACACTACCACTGATAAATTCAGTAAGACTGCAAGACACAAAATCAATGTACAGATATCTGTTGCATTCCTATACGTGAAAAATGAAGCAGCAGAAAGTGAAATTAAGAAAACAATCCCACTTACAACTGCACCAAAAACAACAAAAATATCTAGGAATAAACTTAACCAAAGAGGTGAAAAATCTGTACTCTAAAACTATAAAACATTGATGAAAGAAATTAAAGATGATGCAAAGAAATAGAATGACATTCCATGTTCATGGACTGGAAGAACAAATATTGTAAAGATGTCTTTTGTTTGTTTGTTTTTTAAGATGTCTATACTACCCAAAGAAATCTACACATTTAATGCAATCCCTATCAAAACACCAAGAGCATTTTTTAATAAAGTAGACCAAACAATCTGAAAATTTGTATGGAACCAAAAAAGACCTCGTGTAGCCAAAGGAATCTACAAAGAAAAACAAAACTGGAGATATCACAATTCCAGAGTGCAAGTTATACTGCAACGTGGTAGTAATTAATATGGTATAACAACAGACACAGAGATCACGGACTAGAATAGAAAACCCAGAAATAAACCTACAACTATATGGTCAATTAATCTTCAACAAAGGAATATACATTGGGAAAAAGTCTCTTCGATAGTGTTGGGAATACTGGTCAGCTACATGTGAAAGAATGATACTGGACCACTTTCTTTTACCATACACAAACATAAACTCAAAATGGAATAAAGACCTAAATGTGAGACCTGAAACCATAAAAATCCTTGAAGAGAGCACAGGCAGTAATAATCTCTCTGACAATGCCCATAGCAATATTTTTCTATACATGTCTCTTGAGGCAATAAAAACAAAGGCAAAAATAAAATACTGGGGCTACATCAATGTAAAAAATGTCCACACAGCAAAGGAAACAATCAACAGAACTAAAAGGCAACCTACTGAATAGAAGATCTCTGCAAATGACATATCCGATAAAGGATTAATAACCAAAATATAAAAAGAACTGATACAACACAATACCCCAAAACAAATAGCCCAATAAAAAAATGGGCAGGGGAGCCTCAGTGGCACAGTCAGTTCAGCGATTGACTCTTGGTTTCAGCTCATATAGTGATTTCAGGATCATGAGATCTTGTCCTGCATCAGGCTCCATACTCAGTGCAGAATCTGCTTGAGATTCTCTCTCCCCTCCTCTGCTCCTCCCACCCATGTTCTCTTTAAAATAAATAAATAAATCTTTTTAAAAAGACAGGCAGAATGGGCAGCCCTGGTGGCACAGCGGTTTAGTGCTGCCTACAGCCCGGGGTGTGATCCTGGGGACCCGGGATCGAGTCCCACGTCGGGCTCCCTGAGTGGAGAGTGCTTCTCCCTCTGCCTGTGTCTCTGCCTCTCTCTCTCTGTGTGTGTCTCTCATGAATAAATAAAGTCTTTTAAAAAAATTAAAAAAAAAATAAAAACAAAAAGACAGGCAGAAGACATGAACAGACATTTCCAAAAAAGGACTGGTGATCAATAGATACATGAAAAGATGCTAAACAGCACTCATCATCAGGGAAATGTAAACCATAACCAGACTGAGATAGCACCCCTATGTGTATCAGAATGGCTAAAATCAAAATACAAGAAACAACAAGTTTTGGCAAGGATGTGGAGAAACGGAACCCTCCTACACTGTTGATGGGAATGCAAACTGATGCAGCCAATAAGGAAAATAGTATGAAGGTTCCTCAAAAAATTAAAAATAGAACTACTCTACAATCCAGGAGCCGCACTATTTACCCAAAAACTACAAAAACATGAACTGAAAGGGATACATGGCACCCCTAGGTTTATTGCAGCATTATTTACAACAGCCAAATTATAGAAGTAGCCCAAGTGTCCATTTATAAATGAATGGATAAAGAAGATGTATACATATATACATACTATGTATACAATATATACATACTATGAAATATTATTCAGCCATAATAAAGAATGAAATGTTACCATCTGCAATGACATGGATGTAGCTAAAGAGTATAATGTAAGTGAAATAACTCAGAGAAAGACAAATACCATAAAATTTCACTGATAATGTGTAATTTAAGAAACTAAACAAACAAGCAAAGAAAAAGAAAGCGGGAAAAAGCAAGAAATGACTCTTAACTATATAGAACAAACTATGGTTACTAGGTGAGAGGTGGGTGGGAGGAGGAGGTAAAGAGGAGATGGAGATTAAATAATAAACATGATGAAAAATAATAATAAAATAAAATAATTTTTTAAAGATAGTAAGTGTGTAGTATACAAAATTTTAAAACAAAATTACAAACCACAGACAAAATCTTTCAGATCCACATTCAGGATGCTTTGCCCTGCCAGCCATTCAGGGTGTGCACAGCTTACATTCACAGAATGCTGGAAGTTATTATCAACCAGCCACTGAAGCAACCACTTCAAATGGCAGTCACAGAGTAAACTGCTTGTGTTCAGAATCCTGCAAAAATAAAGAAGAAAAGAAGTACCCTTTATGTTTTATTCTGTTTCTTCACCATTAAAAGTTTACTGCACACTGTACCCATGAATTTTTCTTGCCAAAACATGTTCAACCTAAATCAAACCAGAAGGAAACAAATTCAGATCGTCAGCCTCGATTCCTCAAATATGTCACTGTCATGCAAGACATCAAGAAAAGGGGTGAAACAAGGGTAAGAGACCCATTTTAGATTAAAGGAGACTAAAAAGTCATTACAACAAAATGCAGTGCATGATTCTTGATTGGAAAAAATATCTACAAGGAACTTTTCTTTGAGATTGGGGAAAGCTGAGTATAAACTGCATGTCAATTAATATTATTTTAACAACTGTAATTTCATTGACTGAGAATAGTATTGTGGCTATATGCAGGAAAACGCCCTCATTCTTGGGAAATACATGCTGAGATATTTAGGAGTAAAGTGTTATGATGTCTGCAACTTCCTATCAAATGGCTAAGCAAAATAATAGAGTGTACAGAGAAAAGAGAGAGATAGAGATAGAAACAGATGGGAGGGAGCGGAAAAACATATCACAAATTTAGCAAAAAGTTAACAAGCAGTAAATCTAGGTAAAGGGTATATGGATGTCAACTGTACCTTCCTTTCAATTTTTGAGATTTAAAATTTTCCCTAGAAAAATTTGGGGAAAAGCTTACCATATACATTGCAGCACAGAGATGTTTGTTGTGGAGAAGACAAAATTACTTTCAAATTATTTCATCAAGAATGAAAACACTTCAGCCCTGGGGCAATGTGTACTGCAACTTAAACTAAAAACCAGTGAGATTTTATTTGTTGTCTATAATAGGCCTATAAAACATATCTGAAAAATCAGATAGGTTTTCTCTTAATGACCTGTGACTCTCCCATCCACCTGGAGTTAGTGAAAGCAAATGATTTTGAGACACTGTAACTTGCTTTGTGTGTGACAAAAAAATCCCCATCAAGTTTTAAAGTATCTAAGCTCTGATTCCAAAAAAGTTTCAGTCTTCAATGGTATCTCAAAACCCTTATTTGACTAAGGATTATTTTAATTCATCAGGCCAAAAGTTACCTTTTGCATTTAAGAATTCTTAGATTATATTCATTCATCGATAGAGAAATATTTGAGTCTACTCTATGCAAGGCACTGTTCTAGGCTGTGGCGATATAGGCCTCATAAAATTTATGTATTCATTAGAGCCAGGCAATAAAAAATGACAAAGTACAAAGTCAGAAAGCAAGTGCTGTCAAGAAAAACAAAGTTAAGCAAAGATACAGAGAGGCAGCTACCAGTTCAGATAAAAACAGGGAAAAATTCTTTGAAGAGATGGCGTTTGGGCAAAGACCTGAAAGAATTGAGAGCAAATCCCACAAAGAACTGAGGGGAGAGTGCTGCATACATAGGAAACTATGTGCAAAGGCCTTTAAGCAGACGTGCCCAATGTGCTTGAGGAATAGCAAGGAGGCCACTGAGGCCAGAGCACAGTGAGGGAAGGGACAGTGACAGGAACGAGGTGAGAGAGCTGGGCAGGAAGAGCAGACCATGCATGTGCTGTATTTATACACTAAGAAAAGAACCTGAAGTATTTTCTCCCTTTGTGTGAAGGAAGCCACTGGAAGGTTAAAAATAGAAGAGTGATGTGGTCTGATTTATGATTTCTAAGCATAAGCTAGGCTCATGAGACCTGGACTCAATCCTAATTCGGCAATTTACCTCAAGCAACATACTTAAATGTCTCCAAAATCTCAGTTTCTAGTTCTGGAAAATGAGTTTGAATGCCTATCTCAAAAAAAATTTTTGAATAAAGCATTTAGCACAGCGCCTGGACACAGATACCACTGAATTCACATTACCTTCCTTTATTTCTGTTCCTTTTTCATCTTTCCACACTCACAAGTGGTTGTCTTTGAGTAGTGGGGATCCGGAGACTTGCACTCCCTCTTGGTTTAAGTATGTTTTCTAATATTTCTACCATGATTATATAAGTTTAGTGCAAAATATTTTTTTAATTTACATAAGACTCTCCCATCTCCCCCCAGTATTTATGCATAGCACTGTGAAGGATACTAGAAAGCATAAAGATATATTTTAATAAATATACGATGTAACAGTATTGTAACTATGACTTAGATTTAGAGTGAATCAAAAGCAACCAAAATTTCTCAGCAAAAAAGGTACATTAAGAGTTTCCTCCATCAGCAGTTTGTTTAAACCAATTCTCAAATTATCAAATGACTGAAGAATGAAACTACACTCTCCGCTTTCACCTACTACCTAAATTACATTTTATATTGAGCTCTCATAACAGAAGTAAGAATTTTATTGTTGGCCCTTGGACTATCATGAGGAAAAAAATAGTTAATACTAAGTTGTGCCCTTAACAGTTAAGCCTAGGAGAAATAACTCAAAATATTTCAATAGACTTCTCCCCCTGCCTCCGCAAAGTACCTCCCAAATAAAGAGCCACTTAAAAAGTCTGGCAGAAAATAATTAATGATGATTTCCATAACATTTTTATTTTATTAATATTAGCTATTCAATTTTCACTATGTGCCAGGCTCTGTATTGAGCATATTAGTTTCCTAATATATTTAGAGGAAAAAAAAATTCAAACTCCTTCTGACTCAATAGGCCTAGGTGGTCTGCTTCCTGCTTAACCCTCTGACCTCATCTCCTACCATTCTTCCTCTTGCTCTTTTCCAGCCACACTAGTGTCTTTGCTGTTCATCAAGCATAAGAAGCAAGCTCCTACCTCAGGGCCTTTTCACTTGCTGTTCTCTGTGCCTAGAATGACCCAGTATTCAACACTTTGTCACTCACTAAAGGTCCTGACTTAGATGCTGTTATCTCCAAAAAGCCTTCCCTCACTATTTTATCTAAAATGATAATCCTGCTCACTCTCCATATGTGTGGCCCACCTTTATTTTCCTTTAGAACTCTTATTACCTGATAAGATATTATCGATCTACTGATTCTTTGACTTCCTTACTAGAAATTATTTTAATATACGGTAAGGAGAGAGACTTCGTCTTGTTCACTACTGTGTTTTTAGCATCTAGAACAGTACCTTACATAGCAGATGAGAATAAATATTTCCCAAATAAACAAATTATCTAATTTTATCCTCACAATTTGTCACAGTAATGTCAAGTTGTTCTAAAAGTTTCTAAATGCTTACTATGAATTTCTATCCTTATCACAAACCAGTTCTGATCCACAATCCTTCCTTTGTTTTAGTCCACTGATGCTTAACATTGGCTGAATATTCAAATCACCAGAGTTTAAAATTAGTACCAATGTTCAACTAACCACCCCTCCTCCTGGGAAATCTCTAAACCAATAACAGCAATTTTTTAAAAAGTATGAATGAAAAAAGACATAAAATAATATGTGTTTTTCAGCTGCAACTATTTAACAGTGTTTGACCATTTTATTAACTTGAAAAAAAAGATAAGAGACATCCTGACCATTATACTGAAAGCGCTGGATTATCTCCAACAAGTTACCTAATGCCTTAAGTATATTAGGATTAACTGTAATCCACCCTCAGGTTTCCAGCTTCAGAGGGTTGGGAACACATTTTTCCAATAATCCAAAAGTAAATGGGGTGGGGGAGGAACAGGAGGATATAGGGAAAGCACAAGGAGCATGCTAAGGTCTCTTTAACTACAAGCATAAGTAAAACATAAGGTCTTGGTGCCACAAACTCCAGGCTTTTCGATTCTGGGTTATTTTAAAATTATATCCAGCCACTAAAATAACTGAATATTAAAACTCTTTTCTCCCCCCTGCCTAAACTGCATGTTTTGGGAATCATATGGGTCACATTCATCACACTTAAGCACAAGCATGGATAACGATCTAATGATTGGTGACAAAAAGATTTAAGTTACGTACAGTTCTTTCAAGCGAGTCTGAGAGAAAGCATTTTCTTGGATAGACATTATAGCATTGTTGTTCAAATCTCTGAAATGAAGAGAAATTAAACATTACCAGTCACCATTTCTACAATTAAATTATATAAACACTTGAAATGGTCATGAGAACTTCTGCTAATAGCAAAGATTATTTATACACTGAGCAAAATGGATGCAAATACTTACAGATGCTCAAGGGATTCAAGACCAATGAATGCTTTCTTTGTAATTGACTTAATTTGATTTCCTTGTAAGATTCTGAAATACAAACAGATCTCCTAATAAAGCTTTCCACTAAGAAAACTTAATTCATTAAATCAAACATTTACCTATAAAAAGTGAAAATAAGTTTAACATGCATTTTTAAGAAAGTTGTGAACCTTTATAACCAACCAATGCAAAGCACAGAATGAAGGCCTCTATTAAGAGGTTGGAACTCAACGAGGTGCCTGTGAGCAGCCACTGATAGTGCATCATATGAGAAACTGGATTATAGTCCCAATCTCTCCCTTTTTAGCAAATGATCAGGTCAAAGATTTTCAGACTAGTGGGAAGCCTTGGAGAAATTCTCAGGAGAGAATATTTAAAATCTTACTTCAGAGAATTCCTTTCTAGATAAATTACCCATAAATCTCATATGATTAAAAAGATGACTGGTTCAACTCTGATTTCTCAGTGCATTTCTTTTACTTGAATAGAAATTCTAGTACTATGAATTATTTCTCTTTGAGTGTCCACAGGCAAGCTTTCCATAGAAAATTGTCCCACCACTGAATGAATGAATGAATGAATGAATGAATAAAATGTAAAACCACCAATAAACAAACAATGTAACAAAAAGCTTCTTCCTCTCCTGGATGAGTCAAAAGGCTGGCTTTCCAGCCATAGCAATAAGATATAATCCAATCACATTTAAAATTAGTTCTTGAAAATACATCTTTATAGACATATATAAATATTATAAACACATACAATTTAGTGAGACTTGTCAGTCCAGAAAAAGCTTCACTTGCATCTTCTATGGCCCATGAAATTTCATTGTTTCTTAAGTTTCTAAAAATATGGCAGAGAAAGGTTATTTTAGTTAACATGACCATAATAGCACTGGGCATCATCCTGGCATAGTAATGCTAGTATTCTTATCCTTATTTATGATAAAGACTCAACTCCTCTTTTTTAAAGAATATCTGCAATAAGTAAGAACTCTGTCTCATAAACAAAGGATAAAGCTGGCCTTGATAAATAAATTAACCTGCTAGATTTTTTTTAAAGATTTTATTTATTTATCCATGAGAGACACAGAAAGAGAGAGGCAGAGACATAGGCAGAGAAGCAGGCTACCCTTAGGGAAGTGGGACTCAATCCATGAACTCCAGGGTCATGCCCTGAGCCGAAGGCAGAGCTTAACCTCTGAGCCATCCAGGCATCCCCCTGCTAAGAGTATTAATCTTCCTACCTAATAGCCCCTAATTTTGTTAGCATATTAAAAATTATAGTCAGGGTCCTGCAAAAAGCAGGAGGATTTCAAGATGCAGGGGATATGGCTCACAAATGTGATTTTAGACTAATGGGATTTCTGGGTGACCCACGCCTTCCCATGGGCCCTTAAAACTAAAATGGCTAATAAAGAATAATGTCAGTATAGAGCTTCATAGATTGACAGCAATTCAACACACCCCCTGGGAAGCAAGACCCATGAACACCCATGCGCTAGAGTGATCACTGCTATTTTTAAAAGGAAAAGTATGGTTCTTTTAAATTCCACTGTTGCATTCTCAGAGGAAATGCAATTGCACCACACAGTGTCCTGCTGAAAGAAGTATTAATTACAGATATTTAATCACTTTTGCTTCCTTAAAGACATCTTATAATACATTTTAAGTTGTGTGAGTAACGGTAAGGAGATGGGAGATCATCTTCCCATTTAGCTATATCTTTATTTGAAGTGAAAGCTAACAGGTTCATTTTGTTTTACTAAGGAATAAACATTGAAACAACTGATGGCTCAACATTCCAAGACCTCCCCCCTCCTCCAGAGTACAGCATACAAAGAACTCACTGACCAAAGGGAGTAGGAAGTATATACTCTGGCAGGAGTATTGGCCTAAAGCCAGAATTTCTCAGATTTTATCCTAATTCTGCCTTAACTATCTCCATGGCATCAATCATTTATTTCTGCAATTACTTTCCTAAACTTTAATATTAAAATAAATAATAATCCGTAGTATACTGAAAGAACCTGCTTGCCATTCTTTGAACTGCCAAAAGGCTGCAACTGCATGTGATACAAGTTCTTGGATTTGAACTGTTCTAGGTTCACCTCTAACAATGTAGAAAAAACAAAAATCACTTAATTTTTCAAGGCCAAATCTGAAGGAAGACTACCTCACTAAGTTAAAAAAAATCAAACTAACTTGTGCAGGTATACACACCTTCATAAAATTATCATGCTTTCTCTCTCACTGATGGCTAGGTCTCAAAGTTGGGAACTTGCCTTTTTTCTGAGACCATTTATCAACTCGGAGCCTGATGACCAAAAAGTCATCTTCAGGAACATTAATAATCTACATATTCTACTAACTAGCCTTTTTCTCTTATTCTGCTCTGCTTGAAATCACTGTATTTCATTAAAATACCTCTTCGTTCAATTACATTTCATGACAAGAGTAAAACATCCAACTTACAGAACCCCAGACTTTTAGAGTTGAAATTGCTTATAGCAACCATTTACTCCTATGTCCATCCTCCACTGGATAGACACATGGAAAATGACATCCAGGGAAGGTTAAGTGATTCTGTTCATCTGACAGTATGGTAGAAAGCACATGAGCTTTAGTGTCAACAGATCTAGGTTCTAATGCTGGTTCAAACATTTACAAGTTGTGTGACTTTATTCTGAATGTGCCTGATTTTGTCTAATCTCTGAAACTAAGCAAGGTCAGGCCTGGTTAGTACTTGGATGAAAGACCAGCTGGGAATACAAGTTGTGTAACTTTAAACAACCATTTTAATCTCTCTCAACCTCAGTCTCCTGATATGGAAAAGAGCAATAACATCCTAGTATTCTGAAAGCACCTAGCACATATCAGATCATCGATAAACGTTAAGTTTTTTCTATTCAAGGTTATGCAGCAAATTAACAATGAACAGTGCACCTGCCAGAGTTGCTCCCGCAACACATCCTACATCCTGCTGAATGAGGAGTAGTTGTTTTCTGATAGTAGCTCCAGGTCAGAAGAACAAGAAAATATGCATACTTGACTAGCAATTCTGTTTTATTTCACAGTAACTAGCACTATAAGAGATACTTTGTTGTTTAGTTGATTAAATTCAGAATTAAAGTACAAAGTGAACTGGCTAAAGATAAATAAGATTTATATGTGCAGATAGAGACAAATAAGATTGGCCCCAGGGTATAAGAGAGAAGAACAACTGCAAAATATTAACATAAACGTGAAAAAAAAAACATAAACATGTAGTTTGATTAGCTATTTTAATTTGCTTTACAATTTATTCTTAAAGATTCTATTTATTTGAGAGAGAGAGAGAGAGCATGAGCAAGGGGAGGGGCAGAGGGACAAGCAGACTCCCCATTGAGCGGGGAACCCAACATGGGGCTGGATCCCAGGACCCTGAGATCATGACCTGAACTGAAGTTAGACACTTAACCAACTAAGCCGTGCATAGTTTACTATTTACTGTTAAATAGTAAATATTTACTTTACTGTTTTAAAAAAAATTTGCAAAAAAAAAAGGACAGATGTACTTACAGTGTCTGAAGATTGGAAAGAAACCTAAATACACCATCAGCAATGTGAGTGACTCTGTTGTCCCCTAAATTCAGTCTTTCCAGTAAGCTTAGACCCACAAAGGCAGATTTATCCAGGCGTGTCAACTGGTTATAGGACAAATCACTAAAAACAGGAAACATGAAGGATAAGAAATTCATTGTATTTTAATTCAACTTTCCTATTCTCGTTCTATTTACATGATAAATTTAGGGCTTTCAACAAACTTCTAATGAAGAGGGATGTTAGATCTCATTATTGGCCACGGGAGTGATTTATTCCAAATTACTCTAGTCTCACAGCCTCCACTGAAATGCCATCCAACACTCACAGTTCAGATAGTCTTTGGCAGAACTCCCATGCATCAGGGCTGATTCTTTCAACAGCATTCTGGCTCACAAAGAGCTGTTGTAACATTCGCAAGCCATACAACCACCCCTTGTTCACTTCTGTAAGGTTATTATGCTCTAGTTCTCTGCAGAATTAGAGAAAGAAAGGAAAAAATATGTTTCAAAACAAGGCATTGCATTGAGAAGATACCAAAACTCTCCATTAGGTCTTGCTCAGAGAGGCACACATACTTTTGCTCAATCCAAGTGAACCAACAAATTCTACTGAATAAATATTTATATTTTACTTACAATTTATTGCTAGAAGGTAGGAAGACTGTCTAAAAAAATCAGATCTATAAAATCAACACACTAAGAGGTTTGATATACCTGTTTGAGGTAAATCCTGATAATTTTCATCAGCTCCAAACATTAAGAAAATACAAACTTTTTAGATGAAATGTTTGGGTTTTTTTTTAAGTAGGCTCTATTCCCTGTGTGAAGCCAGACATGGGGCTTGAACTCATGACCCTGAGATCAAGACCTGAGCTGAGATCAAGAATCAGCCTTAACTGACTGAGCCACCCTGGAGCCCCTTGATGAAATGTCTGTAAGAATGATGAAAAGAATACCAGTTTGATAACAAAGCTTAAAGAGCTTTCTATACACTTATTTGACATCAGAGAAGGGAGAAAGAACTAATGTACTTGGGTATAAATTAAATCAATTATCCTAGCCATATGTCACTGACAAGTCCCCTCAGACCACTTTCCTAATAATATTCTATTTTAGTTCATAGTACTTACAATTCTTCCATGTTATCCAAGCCAAAAAAAGCTCCATCCTTAAGTTTGCTAATACCATTCCGCTGCATCTTCAAAGATCTTAAGGAGTCAAGCCCTTGGAATGTCAGACCTTCCACCACTTTAATCCTGTTTCTCTTAAGTTCCCTTTAACAAAAATAGTTTTACAGTCAGAAATTTGCCAATTTGCTTTAATAATAATTAAAATAATTTAAAATTAAAAAAAAAACAATCTTCTTAAAATCCATCTATTTAGTTACTCACAAGAACTGAAGGTGAGGTAGCTTGAAAATCTTGGGTGGAATCATGCTGATTCTGTTCCTGTTTAATTTTACCACTAGTAAGGAACTAGATAAATTATCAAAGCAACCAGCCTCTAAGATGGTTATCCTATTATTACTCAAATTCCTAAAATGAAAAAGATAACAAAAAAATTTAGTGAAACAGAACATTCTAAAACCTGACAGCTACCCAAAGTCTATGAGTGGGCCCCAGCTCTACCACTTAGCAACTATACATAACTTAACAAATCTTTTAACTACTCTGTTTCTTCAACTACAAAATAAGGATAATACCTACTTCATTTAGGTTCCAACAATTCATATGAATATGCCTTATAAACTGTAGAAAACTAGCACACATGCTGATTATCATTATATAGGATAAGCCACTGTTTAACAAATCAATTCTATTTAATACCTTTATAAAACTGTTAGTAAAAACATCCAGAATTATACCTCAAAAATTACCATGGATACTTAGTATTTTCTGACAAGAGGAGACAAAAAAACTACCACCCAAAAAAACCGACACTAGATTTGTTTCACATAGGCATATCAAAATCACAATAAATAACACACATTTCTGGGAAGTATCAATAAATATAAATATGCACGTTAAAATAAGTCTAGTTTAAACTACTTACAGGTATTTAAGCTGCATTCGAGGAAATGAAGACGTCTTAATTTCTGATATTATATTTGAACTGAGATCTAAATTCTCGAGAGCAGGGTAAAACTGAAACACTTCTGCATTTATTTCTGGGATTATATTATGGACTCTATAAAAAAAAAAAAAAAGATTGTAATGAAGCTATTGCCAGAGACCCATACCAGGCCCCAAAGATGTTAAATAATTAGGATAAAAAAGAAGAGTACCTAAAACAACAGATTTAAAGCTGTACTATTCATAATTTAAAAGATCTGAAATCTGATTTACTTACAATGAGAGTAGAGTGATATTAGAGGTTGGTTCTCCAAAATATGGGATTTCTGTTAGCTCATTATAATTCATTTTCCTAGGCAAAGGGGAAAAACAGATTTTAAAGTTTAGAGGGGGAAATGCTGTCTCTTGAGTTCTGGCTTCTAGCTAATAATTATTTAGGACAGGTGCCAAATTTGAAAAAGGCATATAACTCAGAATGAATTAGACTAAATGGATTATGCTGAGAAATTAAAGATTTTTTTAAAAGACTGATTGATTGATTGATTACAGACAGAGAGAGAGAGAGAGAGGCAGAGACACACAGGAGGAGGGAGAAGCAGGCTCCATGGCGGAAGCCTGACGTGGGACTCAATCCCGGGACTCCAGGATCGCGTCCTTGGCCAAAGGCAGGCGCTAAACCACTGAGCCACCCAGGGATCCCCGAAATTAAAGATTTTAATAAGAAATATTTTGCTGTAATGCAGATCTATGATTGATATAAATATTTTGCACATTAAGTATTTTTAATCCCAGCAAGGTTCCTGGTTCCTCAAAGTTACTTTTCTGACAGCTAATTTCAGACCTTCTTAAAGAAGAAATAATTAAACTATCCATATCTATTTATATATTTACTTATAATAAGATAAAAAATTATAAATTAAGTAAATTTTTAAAATACACTCATTTTTTAAAGTTATCCAAAGTATAAAGAAGATGTGGTTTATGTATACAATGGAATATCACTCAGCCATTAGAAACAACAAATACCCACCATTTGCTTCAACGTGGATGGAACTGGAGGGTATTATGCTGAGTGAAGTAAGTCAATCGGAGAAGGGCAAACTGTATGTTCTCATTCATTTGGGGAATATGAATAATAGTGAAAGGGAATATAAGGGAAGGGAGAAGAAATGTGTGGGAAATATCAGAAAGGGACACAGAACATAAAGACTCCTAACTCTGGGAAACGAACTAGGGGTGGTGGAAGGGGAGGAGGGCGGGGGTGGGGGTGAATGGGTGACAGGCACTGAGGGGGGCACTTGACGGGATGAGCACTGGGTGTTATTCTGTATGTTGGTAAACTGAACACCAATAAAAAATAAATTTATTAAAAAAAGTTATCCAAAGTTTTTTAAGTTATTCAAAGTGAGATGAATCTGCCCAAGAGATGGAGCCTATGATTAATTTTATAGATGACATGTCGCTATCTGATCCTAGCAACTCTTTAAACATGTCTCCAGTGTTTTATTTACTTTTTTAAAGATTTTATTTATTTATTCATGAGAGACACAGACAGAGACACAGGCAGAGGGAGAAGCAGGCTCCATGCAGGGAGCCTGATGTGGGACTTGATTCTGGGTCTCCAGGATCACTCCCTGGGCCAAAGGTAGTGCTAAACCGCTGAGCCACCCAGGCTGCCTGTCTCCAGTGTTTTAGTAGCAAAATTAGTATCACATTTCACTAACCTGGTTTTCAATCACTGAACAACCTCAATAATCTAGACTACAGAAAAGAAGTCCAGAAGTCCAGAAATAAAAGGACTCCAAGAAACCAGCCGAAGTTACAAAGATCATGTCATAGAGCTCATGCATTTCCCACTGAAGCATTTTTAGGACTTCCTTCAGTGCCTACTCTTTCAGCTAAATAAGCCTGTCAATTGTTCATTCAATGCACAGCAGACTAAAACCAGTCAATTTGGAGCAGACACAGAGGGAATTCAAGGACAATGAGAGCATGAAGTTACCCCTGTCAGTAAGAAATTAAAAAGAAAAAATCTGAAGGTTCTGGCATTTTAGCATAAAGGCAAACAGGCCTCGAGAGTTGTGCCTCTGGAAACATCACAACGCAATAACTGATATTAATAGTATTTTAGAAAATTTCCCCCAAAAAATACATAATACATCTCTGTATTAAAGGAAAAACTTCAGTGAAGTGGAAAACTGAACTACATTAATCACTGCATCACAGACAATATAAGAAATACCATATTTCAGGTAAATCTTACTTTTTTTTAAGTAAGCTCCACACTGGGGATAGAAAATGATAGTTACCTGAGATCAAGAGTCAGACACAACTAACTGAGCCACCTAGGCACCCCCCACATAACTCTACATTAGACATGATGCTTAACACAACAAAGAATTTCACTGGTTGAAACCGGCAAAAAAAAAAAAAAAAAAAAAAAAAAAAAAACAAGCATAATATATTTACTCTGAAAAGGGGGGGAAAAAAACTTATTTTTGGTCCTAAGAAAGTAGATAGAATATTTCTACACAGTTGCAAACTAATCACCAACCTAATGGCCTAAAGCCCAGAGAGTCTGTAATAGTAGCAAAGCCAAAGACAACAGTTTAGGTTTTTAAACAATGTCTTTTAAATTTTTTCTGTCAATTTTTTGACAGCGAAATGCTGTCCACCTCTAAGAGCTTAATTTAAATTTAAACAAATAAAAATAACTTACACTTCTCGTAACGTTTCAGATTCCAAGCTGATGTTCCAGTTAGACAACCGATTATGACTCAGATCCCTAGTGGAGGACAAAAGATCATTCTTAGTCTAGTGTTGGAAAACAGACTTAAAGAAAAAAAAAACTGAATTAAAACATAATCTAAAAGCCCTATCAAATGTGAATTTAAGCAGTACATGCAAAAAGGAAGAAATGTTTATAAAGGATAAGTAAATATCTAGATTTCAAAATAGCTCTTTGATTTTTTCATTTTTATGAGGTTTTAAAAAAACTAACTAGAGAATACACTCACATGGTTCAAGATATCAAAAAGTATAAAAGGAAATACAGTAAGGCTCCTACCCTGTCACTAGCTATACAATTTCCCTCCCCAACAGCAACAAATGAAAATAAACCATTTCTTGTGCAGTGGCCATTTTATGCATGCATTAGCAAATGCATTTACAAAAATGGTAGAATAATTTACACACTAATTTACCCTTACTCTTTTCACTTAACAATACATGTGATAAATCATTCCACAGCAGTACTATAAAGTTTCTTCATCCCTTTTAGTGATTACCTTATCCTTTACTGTAATGGACTATACATATTTTTAAAAGAAAAATATACTTTTTAAATAACATTGCAAAATATAATATGTAATACTATAACATACATTATATTTAGCAGTAGATAAAAGAAAATAGGTTTCACAAGGCAAGAAAGTGAGCTTCTATATTAGAACTGATGTTGACCATATCCTTGATAGAGATACGGTCTTCCTAAAAAAAAAAAAAAAAAAAAAAAAAGCAATCTAGCTCTGAGGAAGAAAAATCAATCTCCAAATTAGGTTAATTATGATGATTGGTGGTGGTGGTGGCGGCGGCAACCAACATTTATTAAGCCTCAGGCACTCTTCTATGCACTTTATACATATTAAGTGCCTAAAACCACACAACAACATTACGAGGCATACTTTTATAATCCTTATTTGCCTAGGTCAGAGACAGGCAAGATTAATAATTTGTCAATCCAAAGTCATACAGCTGATAAGTGAGGAAGCTATAAACTTGAAATTCCATCTCACTTCTAGCAAGTAGTTTGTTAGATATAGCAGAGATTTCACTGAAATTAGTCATAAGTCTAAATATTTAAATAGGCTTTAAAAATTCACCTTGTTGCTTCCTGGCATCTTTACAAGGCTGAAGTGGAATCCAGCCCACACAAGCTGTCTGCCCAAGACATGTATTATACATTACAATATGGCTAGCAATAGGGACACACCAGAGAAACATTACGGATCACTTTATCTCACTGTGTGACCACAGGCAGTTGACAGATGCATGCATGTCTGAATGATGTCTCTATCACAGCAGAACAATTTGTTCTCAGCTAGATTTCATGTCTGTCCATCTGTAAAATTTAGCCACTTTCATTTAGGAGCTTAATTTACACCGTAAGATAAGTAAGGCTAGATGAAACCATCCCTTTTCCACAACAGTTGTAATACCTTTATTCCAAGATACCTGGCACCAGATATCAGCTCAAGGACACTCATGACTAGGGGTATGCATTGGGAAATGTTAGAGATAAAAATAGGAATATACTCCACATCCAACTCACACTTGCTACTAAACAACACTGGATAAGTGAAAAGATATTTATTGTGGCATTTCAACTAAAGAAATTCAACTCTTCTAATTTAAGTTTGATAGTCCACATTCTGCTCCTAGGGGGCTGGTCTGGCAAATAAAGAGCAACTCTCATCTGTATAGCAGGCTACATAGTGTGATTTAATTCCATACCTGATGCTTGTTAAAAATTTAACTTTTTTTCCCTTTTACAGATTAAGAGCTTTTATTTTAATCATAACAGCGCTTCTAATGCCTTCTCAAACCCTAATGTCCCTGGCAATGTAACTCTTGATTGTACTCATCTCCTATAGTTCTCTCATGGATGTCAATGACCAGATAATCACATTTAAAGAAAATTATGATTGGGACCCTGGTGGCTCAATGGTTAAGCATCTGCCTTTGGCTCAGGGCGTGATCCCACATCCCAGGATGGAGTCCCCCATCAGGCTCCCTGCAAAGAGCCTGCCTCTCCATCTGTCTATGTCTCTGCCTCTCTGTGTCTCTCATGAATGAATAAAAATATTTTTTTAAAAAAGAAAATTATTATTAAAGGAACCTAAAGCAATTAAGTTAACACAACTTACATGTGGTATAAACTACTTTATATTAAGTATCAGTGAAAACTGCCCATTGTCTCAACTGGGGGAAAGAGTGATTTTTTTTTATTTATTTATTTTTATTTTTATTTTTTATTTTTTTTAATAAATTAATTTTTATTGGTGTTCAATTTACCAACATACAGAATAACACCCAGTGCTCATCTCGTCAAGTGTCCCACTCAGTGCCCGTCACCCATTCACCCCCACCCCCCGCCCTCCTCCCCTTCCACCACCCCTAGTTCGTTTCCCAGAGTTAGGAGTCTTTATGTTCTGTGTCCCTTTCTGATATTTCCCACACATTTCTTCTCCCTTCCCTTATATTCCCTTTCACTATTATTCATATTCCCCAAATGAATGAGAACATATACTGTTTGTCTTTCTCCGATTGACTTACTTCACTCAGCATAATACCCTCCAGTTCCATCCACGTTGAAGCAAATGGTGGGTATTTGTCGCTTCTAATGGCTGAGTAATATTCCATTGTATACATAAACCACATCCTCTTGATCCATTCATCTTTCGATGGACACCGAGGCTCCTTCCACAGTTTGGCTATTGTGGACATGGCTGCTAGAAACATCGGGGTGCAGGTGTCCCGGCGTTTCATTGCATCTGAATCTTTGGGGTAAATCCCAAACAGTGCAATTGCTGGGTCGTAGGGCAGGTCTATTTTTAACTCTTTGAGGAACCTCCACACACTTTTCCAGAGTGGCTGCACCAGTTCACATTCCCACCAACAGCGTAAGAGGGTTCCCTTTTCTCCGCATCCTCTCCAACATTTGTGGTTTCCTGCCTTGTTTATGTTCCCCATTCTCACTGGTGTGAGGTGGTATCTCATTGTGGTTTTGATTTGTATTTCCCTGATGGCAAGTGATGCAGAGCATTTTCTCATGTGCATGTTGGCCATGTCTATGTCTTCCTCTGTGAGATTTCTCTTCATGTCTTTTGCCCATTTCATGATTGGATTGTTTGTTTCTTTGCTGTTGAGTTTAATTAGTTCTTTATAGATTTTGGAAACTAGCCCTTTATCTGATATGTTATTTGCAAATATCTTCTCCCATTCTGTAGGTTGTCTTTTAGTTTTGTTGACTGTATCCTTTGCTGTGCAAAAGCTTCTTATCTTGATGAAGTCCCAATAGTTCATTTTTGCTTTTGTTTCTTTTGCTTTCGTGGATGTATCTTGCAAGAAGTTACTGTGGCCGAGTTCAAAAAGGGTGTTGCCTGTGTTCTCCTCTAGGATTTTGATGGAATCTTGTCTCACATTTAGATCTTTCATCCATTTTGAGTTTATCTTTGTGTATGGTGCAAGAGAGTGGTCTAGTTTCATTCTTCTGCATGTGGATGTCCAATTTTCCCAGCACCATCTATTGAAGAGACTGTCTTTCTTCCAGTGGATAGTCTTTCCTGCTTTGTTGAATATTAGTTGACCATAAAGTTCAGGGTCCACTTCTGGGTTCTCTGTTCTGTTCCATTGATCTATGTGTCTGTTTTTGTGCCAGTACCACACTGTCTTGATGAACACAGCTTTGTAGTACAACCTGAAATCTGGCATTGTGATGCCCCCAGATATGGTTTTCTTTTTTCTTTTTTTTTTATTTTTTTTAAAGATTTTATTTATTTATTCACGAGAGATAGAGAGAGGCAGAGACACAGGCAGAGGGAGAAGCAGGCTCCATGCACCGGGAGCCCGACGTGGGATTCGATCCCGGGTCTCCAGGATCGCGCCCTGGGCCAAAGGCAGGCGCCAAACCGCTGCGCCACCCAGGGATCCCTGGTTTTCTTTTTTAAAATTCCCCTGGCTATTCGGGGTCTTTTCTGATTCCACACAAATCTTAAAATAATTTGTTCTAACTCTCTGAAGAAAGTCCATTGTATTTTGATAGGGATTGCATTAAACGTGTAAATTGCCCTGGGTAACATTGACATTTTCACAATATTAATTCTGCCAATCCATGAGCATGGAATATTTTTCCATCTCTGTGTCTTCCTCAATTTCTTTCAGAAGCGTTCTATAGTTTTTAGGGTATAGATCCTTTACCTCTTTGGTTAGGTTTATTCCTAGGTAGCTTATGCTTTTGGGTGCAATTGTAAATGGGATTGACTCCTTAATTTCTCTTTCTTCAGTCTCCTTGTTAGTGTATAGAAATGCCATTGATTTCTGGGCATTGATTTTGTATCCTGCCACGCTACCAAATTGCTGTATGAGTTCTAGCAATCTTGGGGTGGAGGCTTTTGGGTTTTCTATGTAGAGTATCATGTCATCGGCGAAGAGGGAGAGTTTGACTTCTTCTTTGCCAATTTGAATGCCTTTAATGTCTTTTTGTTGCCTGATTGCTGAGGCTAGGACTTCCAATACTGTGTTGAATAGCAGTGGTGAGAGTGGACATCCCTGTCTTGTTCCTGATCTTAGGGGAAAGGCTCCCAGTGCTTCCCCATTGAGAATGGTATTTGCTGTGGGCTTTTCGTAGATGGCTTTTAAGAGTCGAGGAAAGTTCCCTCTATCCCTACACTCTGAAGAGTTTTGATCAGGAATGGATGCTGTATTTTGTCAAATGCTTTCTCTGCATCTAATGAGAGGATCATATGGTTCTTGGTTTTTCTCTTGCTGATATGATGAATCACATTGATTGTTTTACGAGTGTTGAACCAGCCTTGTGTCCCGGGGATAAATCCTACTTGGTCATGGTGAATAATTTTCTTAATGTGTTGTTGGATCCTATTGGCTAGTATCTTGTTGAGAATTTTTGCATCCATGTTCATCAGGGATATTGGTCTGTAATTCTCCTTTTTGGTGGGGTCTTTGGTTTTGGAATTAAGGTGATGCTGGCCTCATAGAATGAATTTG